CCCCGGGGACCTACGCATGCACATTTGCACATTTCCAGTACAACGCAAGGAAATTAATGTCGTTAAAGTCCGTTTTACTATGAGGTATTCTTCGAGAAAATTAAGTAATGAGAAGGTTATAACCACAGCTTGCAACTTCTGAAGACAAATTGCTTGTTCTTTCCAGGTTATGAGTGGAAACATTTTATTTTTATGCAATAAAATATTTGAAATCCCGCCATTTTTTCAAACCCGGCCAGGGGATCTGGGCAAAAAAATTCACGTTATGCTCAGTGCACATGTTGGGGCAGAACGTTTTTCCGCCCTGAACGTAAATACAGTGTACGGATAAGTACTGGGTACGAACAGTTTTTTCCGGTCCCAGTCTACGCTCTTATCCCGAATCCAACGCCTGGTAAAATTTAGCTCAAATGCAAGATAAACGTGCTTGCGATAATGGCTTCTCTTTCTTTACGTGATCAGGCTCTGCGGTTGATGCGAATCATTGGAACATCATCGTAAGTATCAAAGATTTGTATGTTTCCATTCTAGGGCCTGAATTGCGAGTTTAAACGTTTACTGAACACTTGAAATGTTACAATTACAAATGTACAACTACTTTCCGCGAAATTCCTCGTCAGCAATGATTTATTGATTCTTGGCTTTTTCTTTGAAGATGCAGATGCCCGGCTCATTCGCAGACATTTTCCGCAGGTTTGTTAATAAGGCACTGGAAAATTTAAAGTGATCGTCTCCAACAGCCAGAACTAACCACACATTTCATGCTTGGGGCAGGTGGGGCCTGCATGAGGGGGAGGAGGTGGGGGTGGGTACTCCCCATAATGGCCTGAACGGGGGGAGGGGTACCCTTTTTCAGGCTTCTGGTCAATGAAAGGGTAGGGGTTTTACTAATTAAAGTATATGAAAGGTTACGGAAATCTGTCATTGGGGTCTGTGAAAGGACCTAAAAGGTCTAACAGAGGGATTTTATGGCTGTAAAAATTCGAAACTTCCAGGTTTCCCTTTTTTTTTCATATTTAAAAGACAGTGCATGTACAGCAATTAAAAGGGATACAAATTTCTGAACTAGATATTTGAAAGGGATATGATTTGTCAAAATGAAAACTAAGGGGTACCTTTTGTGCCAAAAATGGTATGTAAGACTGTAAAATTAATATTGTACTTTTTAATATTAATTTTAGGATCTAGGTTATCTTCCACTGCGAAGGACCACATTGAACCAGAATGTGCTTTTGAGGTTTGTACAGACAGTTCATTTTTAGTTGCACCAGGTAGGCTAACTGTGATATGTTAGGGTTGGTCATATTTAATGGCACTAGCTTTTGTGCATCACATTGGCTTCAGTTGTTGAATTTCCCTACAACTGAAAGGTTGGTTTATATATTTTACCACTCAAATTTATTTCCAGGTTAATATTGATCTAATCTAACTTGATTAATTCTCAATTTCTTTTGTCTCCAAGTCTTAGGAGGAAATTCTTTTTAATGAGATCAAGTTAGGTCAAAATGTTTTGACCTGAAATCAATTTGACCTGTAGCATATAAATAGTGTTAGAAAGAACCTGTCAAGAATATAATAATCTTGCTAGGAATGGACCCACAAGCCAGCTGGGGACTATGCCTTTGTCAAAGTAAAAATAAATTTCGGTAAAATTTTTTAACCTACAATCGGTGACAAAATGAGTTGAGACACTTCGCCCAAAACTGGGCTTTTTTACGTTTTATTAACTTCAAAGGGAGGAAATATAGCTTTCCTCCCCCATCCCCTCCGTGCAATGTTGTGCCCTTGTTCTAGCTACCTGTAGAAAACAACAAACACCCCAACTTTGAATGGAGGGGACAGGGGAGGGGTGCAGATTCTTTTGTTCTCCGAAATTACCCTATTTAAGTACAATGTCTCAACAATTTTGTCGCCGATTGTAGGTTGATTATTTATTTCCCTTATCTAGTAGCCCTAAAAATTATTATTCATGAAAGGAGACAAAGGAAATTTAGAATCAACCTAGGCATTACGGAATTCCATGCATTAATCTGCATCGCCCGTAAAATTGGGGTTCTTATGACTATTTGTGGGCTCACAAAAGATGCCAACGCATGTCATGTCCTTTGACTCTAGACCGAAGGGTTAGTGTATTGTTTCAACGATACAAAGGTAATTTAACTTAAGCGAATCGATAATTTGAAGCTTTCGTGCTACTCTCCGTTTTATAAGGAAATGCAATCGCAATAATTGTAATAACAATGCAATAACTATAGGTAACAATTATTGTTATCTACAGTTAGTTTTTTTCTGAAGAGCTAACAAAAATTATTGTTTTATTAGGTGGCAAACTCTAGCATCAGGTATGGAGAAGGAGTCACCAGAGAAGTTGGCATGGTAAGCCTGTGCTTCTGCTTAAAAAGTGAATGACAAGTTGATGAACTAACAGGATATAATTATGGTAGGGTTAGCTCAATTGGCAGCAGACTTATTTATTTTGTTTATTCAATAATTTGCGCAAAATTCAGGTGATTCATCTTTTCAAGTATCAATCACAGTTCCCTCTCCACATGAAAGGTAGATCTAACCACCACGCTCTACATCTCCTACTCTTTTTGATTGATTCCTTGCATATTTTGACCAGTTAAACTCGATCAGGCTGAGCCTGAAAATACTGTGATTGTCCCGATTTAAACGACAAGCCATTTCTGTGGAAATGGATGACTAGGTAGGGAATGGTGGTCCCATATCCAGCTTATGATGCAAAAGCCATGTCCTTCATAAAAATTAATATAAGTTTGTGCTTAATATGTTTACCCTTAAATTTATAATATTAGTAATTTGGGATATATCCTTGGCATCTTGTTTCAGAAATGACCATTTTTTTAAATTCATTTTTTAAAGGATTTCAAAAATCATGGCCTGAAGAAAGTCTGTGTAATTACAGATCAAAAGGTAAGATTAACTTTTTAAAAATATATATATATATATATACCCGTAGATAAATTTTGTTGCATTAAATCATTATCGTAATGCCTATAACTGTATAAATATTATTAAATTATATCTCTAGGTGTCAACCACCTGGGTTCTTGTTTAATTTGTATTGCTTTAATTTTGATTGTACCAAGAAGGCAAATAGTTTATTCTTATATGGTTAGAGTGTAATTAACCAACATTTTTTATTATGGAATTTTATAGCTTGTAAATTTACCTCCTGTTCAAGCAGCCATCGAGTCTCTGGAAACAAATGGAGTCAATTATGAACTTTATGACAAGGTCAGGATTGAACCAACAGATGCCAGGTGAATACAGTGTTCTACTTTTGGCCCTGTCACACCCAAGGGTACCCTCCCAGGGGTTATTCAAGGGTTGCATTGAGTGGAAGCTGGCAAACTATTTTTTAGGGTTTGAACTTCATGATTAGGGATTTTTTCTGGTAAGAACATTTTGGCTTGTATTTTGGTGGGTTCGTATTTTACAATGGATTTTTGTGGTTTTCAAAAAATTTGGAAAGATTTGTGGTCTAAAAATTCATGAAGAAAAATCTCTAGCTTCTGGCAAAGTAGAATTTTTTTGGAGGAAAATGTATCCCTAAACAAATACCTAGTATGATTAGTATGGAAAAGAAGTGGGCCCTTTTTTTGCTATGCAGCTGTGTAGTCATGTGGCACGAAACACCATACTGGTCTCTGACACACAGAGAATTTGTTTATAGGAAGGATCTTTAAACTAAGGATTGTGGTAAGCTCTTAATTTGTCTCTTTGTCCCACAACCAGTGCCCTACCAAGTTTTAAATCTGTTCACTAAATAAATCTTTTGTTTCTCTTAGTTTTAAGGATGCTATAGATTTTGCCAAGAGAGGTCAGTTTGATTCCTTTCTAGCTGTGGGCGGTGGATCAGTGATTGACACAGCAAAAGCTGCCAATCTTTATTTATGCCATCCTGAGAATGATTTCCTAGATTTTGTGAATGAACCTATTGGTAAAGGCATGCCAGTTAACAAAGTTCTGAAGCCATTGATAGCAAGTAAGGAAACTCCTTTGTATCATGTACTGTAGATCACTTTAGTTTCAAAATCTGTCCAAATGCACTTCTGAGACTTGTTTTTTAGAAACCAAAATTGAAGACAAAACAATGAAGTTTCGTTTCCTACAAGTGAGGCAGACATGCTTCTTTTCATACATGCAAGTAGATCTAACTTGTTGCTGTTCATCGGCAAGGAGAAGGTTCTATAGCAAGGAAGTCAAAGGTTTGGCAAAAAAACAGACATTTTGTGGGTTCTCCCTCTTCTTCAGTGGTTTTAGTTGAAAGTGAAAGTTAGCTTGCGCTAGTAACGTTATGTCTTTGTTGTTATTTGAACAGAAAGTTGCATTTGCAGTTGCTTTCAGACCACTGAAAACTTTGCCAAAACTTTGCCTTTTACACGATTTATTGCATTGTACAGTTTCTATTATTCTAAGGAATACATACTGTTAATTTGGCAAATTTTGAATTGTTTTGTCTTGAAACTGACTTGAAAGTGAAGCAGAAGTGTCTTATATTTGAAAGAAAATCCAGAAACTGAACTTGTTAGGTGTCAAAGAACATAACCTTGCATTTTAACAGTGATAATTTAAAATGTGATGATCTATAATTTGAAGAACTTACATGCAATATTTATTATATATTGATCTGATATATATATTTTTAAATTCACAGTTCCAACAACTGCAGGAACAGGTAAGCGTGGATGTTTATTTTTATCACCTGTTGAAAAACTTCTCCTGTGTGTCTCATTATTTAAAAACGCGTTGTGAGGGTAGGGTTGCTGTGCTAGTTTAGTGGGGGAGCAGGAGATTACTGTATTATAGTACTCACCATCTCTTCCATTCACTGCTTATAATCCCTCAGTGTGTCTGTCATTTTATTCTGGTTTTTACATTAGCATTGATTGATTGATTGATTGATTGGATTCAGCTTGTCCAACCTTGATCCCAGGGTTGTCTCCTACCCATCCCNTAGGTGTCAAAGAACATAACCTTGCATTTTAACAGTGATAATTTAAAATGTGATGATCTATAATTTGAAGAACTTACATGCAATATTTATTATATATTGATCTGATATATATATTTTTAAATTCACAGTTCCAACAACTGCAGGAACAGGTAAGCGTGGATGTTTATTTTTATCACCTGTTGAAAAACTTCTCCTGTGTGTCTCATTATTTAAAAACGCGTTGTGAGGGTAGGGTTGCTGTGCTAGTTTAGTGGGGGAGCAGGAGATTACTGTATTATAGTACTCACCATCTCTTCCATTCACTGCTTATAATCCCTCAGTGTGTCTGTCATTTTATTCTGGTTTTTACATTAGCATTGATTGATTGATTGATTGATTGGATTCAGCTTGTCCAACCTTGATCCCAGGGTTGTCTCCTACCCATCCCCATGCTCCGTAGGGTTGGGTAGAACCCTTGAACGAGGTTGCAACTTGTCAGCTATTAATCATACATGAATTTTCAGGTAGTGAGACTACTGGTGTAGCTATATTTGATTACGAGCCACTGAAAACCAAAACAGGTAATTCTAGCTTACATTTTACCTTCTTTCTTTATGGATTGAGAGGCGAGCTTTTGCTTTCACGCATATCCGTTTGAAAGCTATTCGAAAGTAACTCTACTAACACTTAAAAGAGGAGACTTCAATTTTGGAAGAAGCTAAACTCCTTAAAAATTTCTTGACAGGTATTGCAAACCGTGCTATCCGACCCTTGCTAGGAATTGTGGATCCTTTACATACCCTTCACATGTCCGAGAGATTGACAGCTAACAGCGGATATGACGTATTATGGTAAGACTGATAGCACTCGAACGTTAGTGGCTAGTTTTCTCAGATCAGAAAGATGTTGGATAGTTATGTGGTTTAGTCTAGGTTTCTGTGAGTGAAGGAGCTGACAAATTTTCTCCTATGATCAATGCTCCTTTTTAGCCATGCTATCGAGTCGTACACGGCCATTCCTTACCAGATGCGTGGTCCTCGCCCCACGAATCCTAATTTGCGCCCAGCGTATCAAGGCAGTAACCCGGTCAGTGATGTTTGGTCCAAACATGCGCTTGGTATTGTAGCAAAATACTTAAAAAGGTAAGTCTTGGCATGACACTGTGTCTCACACATGGTTAAAGTTTGAAAGAATCGTGGGCTATGGAAGAAGACAAACGTACAAGTTCTTTGTATGGATATTACAACTAGAGCCCGAAGGTCTTATTTAGATCCCAAGATAAGACTAGCTGTATTATGTTATGCTACTGACTTGTTAAACCATAGTCACACGAGACTCCTTTGCAAACAGTGCTCGTTATGGTCTGCATCTTACGTATGTATTCACCGGCGTGATACTGTAGCAGCTAATCAACCGCATGACTCAAGAGCATGCTTTGTGCCCCGCCCCTTGCTGTTAACGAGGGTCTAAACACTTACTCAAAGACAAACAATTATTTCATCAGATCAATCAAGGATTCCGAGGACCTTGAAGCCCGGTCCAATATGCATTTGGCGAGTGTTTATGCTGGAGTAGGGTTCGGAAATGCTGGTGTACACTTATGGTAAGCTGCTACACATTGTGTTTAACAACATGAGGCATTTTTGGTCAATTCGTTGGCAGTCTGGTTGACTTACTCCGCGGAGAAAGAGTGGGGATTGGCTAATAAGGAAACTCGCCGAGTAGAAATGATACTGTTTATGAAACTCCTTAGGATTAATCTAAGTAAGGAGGTAGTGCTACTGTAGGTACCCTATTGATCGTTTTGAGAAAACACACAATACTGACATATCACTACTGTTTAACCGGCAGTTTATGTTTCGGATGAAACTTTATCCATCGTCATTGCTAACAATCACCCTTTACGTCTGCAGTCATGGGATGTCCTATCCCATCTCCGGCCTCGTCAAGTCTTACAAAGCTAAGCAGTATGAAGTGGAACACCCTCTTGTGGTAGGATATTGTAAAAGTTATTATTTTTTTATGAGGAACGAAGAAAATGTGTTGGCCCAAGTGTCTACTTTATGATATACTTAACTGCCTTCGTGTAAAGCCGGCAATTTTAAACTTTTTAAAGATGACTACCGCAAAGGATGTTGAAACGTCAGTCACTATCAACAACAACAGTCCTATTCAGGACCACGTTCACCCGGACGATCAAACTCAACCTACTCATGAAATGACTAGCCTGCGGTTCAGCCGGCCCACGTATCGCATATAGCTATGAACAAGGTTTAAAGTGTCTGCGCGCAGGCTAGAAATGACTCCTGGGTTCAAACGATTCAGCAGTGGCAGATCCAGGGGAGGGGCCCGGGGGGGGCTGCCACTCCCCCACCCATTATTTTAAGACCAAATTGAGGCCCAAAGGGCCGAAAAAAATTTTTTTGGAGACCGGGCCCTCCCTTATCTCACGGTCTGGATGACCACCCCCCCCCCCCCCCCTCCAACCCTATCCTCCCTGCGGACCTCACCTCCGTCTTGTCATCCTTNAGGTCTGGATCCGACATTGTTCACAGTATTTGTGTTTTGTTTATTAGCCACATGGTTTGTCTGTAGTGGTTACAGCACCAGCGGTGTTTCGCTTCACGGCTCCAGCATGTCCTGACAGGCATTTGGAAGCTGCAAAAATCCTTGGTGAGCCCATAGTTAACCCTGTATTGTTTACTTAAACGTCTATCTTAGTCAACAACTGCCCTTCTTTCCAGAGTGCAGCTACGACATTATGAGTTTTCACAATAAAATGACAGAGCCACAGATTAGTTTGAGAAACAAATAACTGAACAAGCTCTTAAAAATAGATTTAACTCAAAACAGGATGTATAACGTGTGGATGGAGAGGATATTTTCACGAACTGCGTACGAATTTTATCTCTTGATACTTTTCTTTTGTTGATCCGTGCACAGTTGAGTATTCTCTCTCTGACTTGTTTAGGTGCGGACACAAATAACGTTAAGTTGGCAGATGCCGGGCTATTGCTGTCGGACACTCTTCGGGATTTCATGCACAGTACCGGGGTAGATAATGGACTTACCGCCCTGGGTTATAAACCGGAAGACATTCCAGCGCTTGTCAAAGGAACACTGCCTCAACATCGTGTGACAAAACTTGCCCCAGCCGGTGCCCCTGGAGAAGACGAACTTGCTCGACTCTTTGAGGATTCCATGACGGTGTATTAGCATGTTTTAGAATTGGAAAACTGATGATGATTGCGATGACGTATCCGAGAGATTCGACTGGTCAAGTTAAAACTCAAAATTACACAAGGTGCAACTTGTGAGCTTTTAAGTAAACAATTTTTACTACAGTTTTGGAGACCCGGCGAGGGTACAATTGACCTTAACAGAATATAGGTCAGAATAAGAACAGCGTGTGATAGAATCCACAGATCCTCAAATTATTACATGTAATAAACAGTAGCATGTTTATTGCGTTCGACGCAGAAGAACGCACCTTTATTGCAGACTTGGAGTAAGGTTGTATGGGACGATCGGGTCTTAGCACACATCTTGCATCTCTGAAGATTTTGCAGGGGTGTCGAATTACATAATCACCAACTTGTCAAAGGAGAGAGAGAGACCGTACTCAGAACGCACACCGTAATCATTGATTATTACTGTTGACATCAGTTTCAGTGATTGGTTAGTTTAATTTGAATACTGACCATCTTGATCCAGAAATAATTGGTCTACAGACACGAACTAACTGAAACGCTTGTACAAACACAAATTTAATTACAGCCGTAAGACTCGAGTTTTACGTGGTAAACCATCTTAAGAGTTGTTAAAATTTCATTAGCAAATTATTTTTATCTCTTTATCACTTGGATATAGAGGAAGCCTATATCTGACCTTTGGGATACTATGGAGGTTTAATCCCAGGCTGAATATGGTTATTCTCCTTACTCATTGGCCGCTACATATTACTGACCAAAATAATACTTATCTAAACTGAATTGTTCATCTAGGCCTTTTCTTACGATATCTCTGACTCCTATAAATACCTACGTGCTTGACAATGCAATGAAAAGTAAAAAGAAATAACCAGTTGATATTGAGTAGACCATTTGCATTGATTTATGGGTTCATTTCGTGCAGACAGGAGTCCTATATAATGACCACATTATACCTGGCAATGCCGTAATACGACTAACAGAGCACGTTTTTTAGGAGCATAAGGGTAAAGTTTCATCACGTTAAATACGTTTGAGGTCATTATATTTCGGATTGGTCAAATCAATGAAGCCAAATAGATGAAGAATTTATTACAGCTGAACATCGACTATATCTGTGTTTACTTCTCAAGACGTACTGGACAGGGGTCATGGATTCAACAACAACAACAACAACATAAGCTTTATTTGCATGACTATAATTATGTAGTTACAGTATTGCAAAAGCTTTAACATTCATTCATTGCTCTTACAACTGGAAACCAGAAACATATGACCCCTAACTGCAAAGCAATTAGAAAAATGGATTTAATGACAGCGTGTTAGTTATACTTCGGACATTATTTTATTTTAAAAATCGTAAAAGTGAAATATTACGTTTATCGAGTTTCTTTAAAGATCTTTAAAGGTCTTGACCTAGCTGAACCTGATAAAAACACCACAAAATTTGACTTCTGTTTTTTTTTTTTCAGTGTAACAATGAAGTTTTTTAAGCTTTTCTATACTCGTAGTTCGTATTTTGTTAATAAAACCCAAAAAACTAGAAACAAATGAAGTATTTGTTTAACGAACAAAAACGTTTCCGTGTGGGTTGGCAACACCTGTTAACTGATTTGTATCGGCTTTACCACATGGGTCATGAGCGGGCCAATCACTGACTGCATCACCGTCAAAAAAATAGTAGAGATTACTGCTTGACAAGTAAGGCCCGCGGGTGTGTAACACAAGGGATGTTGGTACTATCCCCGCACACTTCTGTGAAACCTGTTTAACCAGTTTACAGCTGAGTGACCCGGCCTTCTGTCTCAGTATACTGCCAGTGCTGTCCTTGCAAACGATCCAGTTGTTGATGTTACTTTTGATCAGAGTCTGGTTTCCAATGGTTCGCCACAAAGCAAAGTCCATGGCTTCATAGTGGGTCTCGCTTAGTGGAACTGTTGTAGATACCCGAGTGTTAGCACTACCAGCTGTCCAAGTTGGACGAGGGGTTACTGCGTTTGAACCACTGTTAAAATTTGCGTAATCCGTGAAAGTATAACTCCAAACTAGTGTCCAGCCCCCTCCATCTGTCTGTTGGTCGCAGTAAGCCTGGAAAGCGTTCCCATGGGAACCACCATCCGGGTCAATCCAGTAGACTCCTGAGGCCGCCGAGGGTACATTTAGTTTGAGATGCCGACAGTTCAACACAGGTAATGCTTTGGATTGCCCTGTGAAAGTGGTATGTATTGTAAACGGATGGGTTGTTGAAAAGATGAAGGAAGGAAGCGGATTTTTCTTAGAACCAGAGGGAAAACAAGGTGCAAATGAATAGGTTTGTTTTGGTGCCAAGCATCTTTTGATTATAACATCACTTTTACAGTGTATGCGAGATGTAGTGCTTGTATGGAAGCCGGGAGTGACCCACTCTCGGATGGGGAACCGTAGCCTAGAGTCGATTCCCTAAAACAAATCGTTCATAAACCGATGGGAATCCATTTTTTCCCTCGTGGCCTGTCCATGAGAGGTGTAATTGTACTTATTGAAGAGTGGAGGAGTGGGGCGAGAGAAGTAACTCCGCTGTTTTGGCTACCCGCGGCCGCCCCATCGGGCCGGAGTTTTGCGCCGTTTTGGTCTGAAAACGGGTATACACTTTGCCCATGTTGGTCTGGAATCGGGGATGGTTTTTGAGGGAACTACGGGAGCGTATGAACGTATTTATCGTTTCAATTCCAAATGAGTAAGTAAGAAAGAAAGAGAAATATGCGAATTCGAAATGGATTTGAATATTTTTTTTTGTTTGCGCTCTAATCTCAGTAATAATGACATAATTTCTTCCTAAAGGCCAGGTCTGAAAACGGTTATGGATTTTGGAAGTCTGGTCTCAAAACGGGTCTGGAGAATGACATTTTTTTTTTTGTCTGAAATAGGGTCAGGATTTGTAGAACCGGGCGGCACACCCCCACCAAGAATTCCCATGAGAACCCCCCGGGTTTCGCCGTAAGATGTAAAACTCTGTACTTTACCAATAAGGCTCGGTTCAACCAGTTTGAAGTTGTCTTCAGTTAATCTTTTGATTATTTCATTCTTGCAAAGCAAAGCAGACCGGTAAAGATAAAGATTCCCTTTTGAATCTATTTCCAAAACTTTGTGTCTTTCTTGATCCAGTGCTCTAAAACAAGGAAACAGGTTTTATTATCAGATATCTCGATTTGCCACGTACCATACCACTTAACCGCAAAGGGATACGACTTTCGCGACGGCTCGACTTGTGGGAAGGGCCGAGTGGGAGAAAAGAGAGAGATAGCTCTGCCTTTCCCGTCCCCCACCCACCCACACCCTCTAAGCCAAGCGGAAAGATCCAAACAGAGAGGTTGTTTGCACATCGTGACTCGAATTAAAGCGTAATGAGGTTGACATGACTGGTTGACATAACTATTTTAATTTCAATAGTGACCATTTGATATTTTTGATAGTTTAGCTGATGACAAGAAAATTCATGTTATCAAGAGCACTTACAATCATTTAAATTTTCACAGCTCTCCTGTGTTGCATGCCTTTACTGGCGATGTTTAGGTTTCTTTGGCTAATTTTTGTTGAACTAAGCATCAGTCGACATAGTTTTCAAAAGTAACGGTTTGTAGGCTTTTTCTGAAGACTAATTCCTTGATCCATAAATTATGTGGAATTCACAATATACCACAGCCAGCGCCCTGGGTCTCCCTCTTTGTCCCATTCCTCACTTGACTGGCAAAAAGAGATCAAAAGAGAAATGCCCAAGAATTTGATCAACCTCGTCCCCAAGGCATTCGCGCTTCTCTCATTCTCTAAGGGAAAAGCCCTGGGGACGAGGTTGTAATCTGATCCTAGCATTTGACGACCCCATAGTGACAGACATGATCCAGGAACCTTAATGTCTTGATTTTCGGATACGCATGTGCTTGGTGAGTCACACAATACCCCTGAATTGTCCATACCGATTAAAGCGAGAAGTTTGAATGTGAATATCGACAAGAAATTTTTCAATTCCAAATCGCATGGCGTCTATCTCATTATAAAATGGGTAGTGAAATAACATCAAACATCTTCGGATATCGGCAAACTTTTTTTGAAGGGGGCAAGCCCAGACCTTTCCCGGAGCAACGTGAAGGACCAAAAAATGAAAATCAAAACATTTAAACTCGGCCTTACCTGGTTAAGAAGAAAACACTGAAAACGATAAGCACACTGGGCAAAAGAGCGTGGGAAAACATTTTGGAGCTTGCACAAGGCCAACCAACAAATACCGTCCCGCTCTCGTCAGCAACTCAAAGGCAACTGACTTAAAACTGAATGGCTACCTAGGTAATAATGTTTTCACGCCAAAAGGGAGGAGTTTCAGCGCGTTTCAGCTGACAGATTTTTGGTTTTTGTGGAATCAAGGAAGTTAATGCTACCAGAGGCCGATAAAGGGTGAAACGGCCTAAGGGTATGTTTTTGACGCCTTCCCAACTCTCTTTGGTACAATGTGTAATATATCATTCTTATTTGTCGTGTTCTATCGCATATAGGGTAGAATATACCCATTAGAAACTTTTTAGAAACGGGGTCTGAGGTTTTGTATGGCTTGGCAATTTTTTTTTATCGCACTTCGGTTTTGAAATAAGATCAATGACAGGACGTTTTGCCTTTTCTCAAATGTTGGCCCAAACAAGGAAGCGGCGTCCCATCAGGTTTAACTGGGATCATCTATCAGAGCACAGTGTATGAGTTAAAATAAAAACGGCTGGTTTGAAAAAGGAGAATCTACGTAGTTCTTTTAGGTCAGGCTCGATAGGGGAGGGAATGGGAAATCGAATATTTTGGTCTGAAATGGTGAAAGGCTTGCAAGGAGCATGCACACACCTCCACCTGATATTTTTTCGAGAGTATTCCGCTCAAATCTTCGGGAAGTGTCACTAGATATCTGTTGCTTCCTGTACCTCTGAAGCCTTTAATAGCATCTTTCAGTTCGAACGACAGATCAATAAACCTTTTTAGCTTGTTCGTTTGATATTCCCATTGCGATTTTACCCCAGAGAAATGTTTCCAGCTGTGTTTCTTACAATCGTCGAGCTATCCACTTGCATTTGCGTGCCGGGTAACTAATAAAAAGACAAAAGGTAAATTTTCTTGAGAACCCACATGGTCTGAATTGTGAAAATAAAACCTACAAGCCAAGTAGTCTATTTTGACCTTATAGGTTAGACTCAAAATGTTAGAACCACACTGAAAACCATACTTTTAAAACTGACTGTGTACCACAACACTAGCACCGCTATAGCTTTTATTTGAATCGACCACACTGATGCAGAAAAAAAATCATCTTTAGATACGGAAATGAGAAAAACTTGTAGAAACGGACTTGATACCCAGTGGCTGTAGTGAGGAAAAAATGCCATTAATGAAAAAGAAATTCACAAACACAAAGTGAATTACAACGGCATTAAAATTTAATATGGTAGTAACCTGAAAATAAAACTAGCGTATGTGAAGCCACAGGCGGCCCAAGCGCACTATGTGTGGGTTCGGGCTTCAGAGGTCATTTGGTCGGAATATACTAGAATTATTGGTATATTATCTGATGCTAAATAAACGCAAAAATCTTAAAGATTTGAAGTCTTCTTGTTTATCTATCTGTAATAGTAGCCTTTAAGATAACGAAGGTCGATATTTCTTGCATTATTACATGTGATTCGGACCCTTATTGTTCGAATTTTATCACATGTATTCGAATCTACAACGCTAAGAAAAAAAAAATCATGATCACGCGAAATATTGATTCAAAAAGCTCCCTTACCTTTAGTTCATAGCCACTCTGTGTCCTACGGCCGGTTTAAACGCCGTTTAGTCGACTTTCTTTCCATCGAGTACTGAACACTATAAAAGAAGGGAAGGCTGGAGACCTTCCAATTGACCCTCGCAGCTCGAAGGCCAATAAATTCCAAACAAAGCGACCGATCTCCCTAAAATTGCCACCAGCCAGACCGAAGAGTGTACACCTACCCGTTCGACGAGCGCCAGGTTCTAAATTCGGCTGCATGAGCTCGAGGATCGTTGCATTTCGCATCGATTCTGGCCAGCTTCGCTTCGCCATGATGCGCAATCTTAACTGTTATCCTACGAGATTCAAATCTTGGAGCTTAGCGACCGCGTCAGATGGACAAAACGTCACTCTCGCGGGGGAAGGGTCGTCACTTTTGCCCTAAAGTAAAAACTTGCAAGAGGTGACAGGCCGCACATCTTCACCGGCGTGAAACCTTTGAAACCTTTTACATATTGCTCCATTGAGGAGACTTCTTTCAGGGGATCTTACAGTTTAAAATTTGAACGATGATATCGCTTCTATATAGCGGACCAAGATACGGTTCGGTATAGTTTATGTTCAGCAAGGGAAAATTGTGTAAGTGGAGCAGAACCTTTTAAATTTTCAACAGACAATTTATTCAGTTCGCGCGTATTCCTGTTGAATTTGTAGCCCGTTTATGAGATATGTCTACTCAAATATATAATAATTTTTCCATAGCTGCTGTTATGTGAGAGTAACTGCTTTTAATTTCTCCGTAAAGTTTAGGTTTACGCGATCTCAGAGAACAATGTTTAGCTGTACACAGCACGTAGTCTGTTTAAAAATATATCCAGATCTGACACTGGTTTTGGGTATTTATCACGTCTAAGCATGATTTAAATACATTATGATGCTGTGTCCTTTGAATGTCGTCTTAAAACTCAATCGCTTTGTAAATGTCACTTGTAGTTTTAATATCGGAGGAGAGTATTTTAAAGCTCAATATTTTTCAATACCATTAGCATGTTGTTTTTTTACCAATCAATTGACTGGCTTCTTTGTGCCACTACATAATGCGTGTAGTTAAATATAAGTTTGGCCGGATTTAATAAAGACAGTCTGGGACGTTTTTGGGTTTCATGTGTCATACACGCGTGAGCTGTTTCCGGCCGAATTAAACGCACCGGCTCCCCGGACGGTGTCGGTTTGCGATAGGGCAAAAGTGACGACCCTCCCCCCGCGAGAGTGACGTTTTGTCCGTCTGACGCGGTCGCTAAGCTCCAAGATTTGAATCTCGTAGGATAACAGTTAAGATTGCGCATCATGGCGAAGCGAAGCTGGCCAGAATCGATGCGAAATGCAACGATCCTCGAGCTCATGCAGCCGAATTTAGAACCTGGCGCTCGTCGAACGGGTAGGTGTACACTCTTCGGTCTGGCTGGTGGCAATTTTAGGGAGATCGGTCGCTTAGTTTGGAATTTATTGGCCTTCGAGCGGCGAGGGTCAATTGGAAGGTCTCCAGCCTGAAATTTTGTTAGCAAATTAGTTTTTAAAACTCATCTCCTACGTAAAGCAAGATTAAATGAGAGTAGGTAAATATAACCTAGATTGTCACTACTTTTTATCGTGCTCCTCCTTGTATTGTTTGTTTGTTTGTTTTTTTAACAACTAATTTTAAAGGACTTTAATCACCAACACAAAAATTTGAGATCAAAATGGATTAGAGACGTCCGTTGTCGCTGCTCCTTGTTTTATAGGATGATGCTGACCACTCCTGCTGAGCACACTTCTTTGGGACCACCTTTTTAACTATTTCACAGCTGAGTGACCCATCTTTCTGTTGCAATATGCTACCACGACCCTCCTTGCAAACGAGCCAGTTATTGATGTTACTTTTGATCAGAGTCTGGTTACCAATGGTGCGCCACAAGGCAAAGTCCATGGCTTCAAAGTGGGTCTCGCTTAGTGGAACTGTTGCAGATACTCGAGTGTCGGCTTTTCTGGCTGTCCAGGTAGGCCGAGGGGTAACTGCGTTTGAACCACTCTTAAAATTCGTGTAATTTGTGAAGGTGTAACTCCAAACTAGTGTCCAGCCTCCTCCATCTGTCTGTTGGTCACAGAAGGCCTGGAAAGCGTTCCCATGGGAACCACCGTCCGGGTCAATCCAGTAGACCCCTGATGCAGAAGAGGGTATTTTAAGTTTGAGGTCCAGGCAGTTTAACACTGGAAATTCTTTAGATTCCCCTGTAAAAAAAAAAGAAATATTAGGGCCATTTATACGAGGAAAAATAAGACGCGTCTTACATAAGACGCGAACTTTCCGTATAAACGGCACATTTCGTCTAAAATAAGACGCGGCTTAGCTAAGACGCGTCTTATTAGATAAGACATGCTCGTATAAATGGTACAGTTCGCGTCTTATTTAAGACGCGTCTTATTTTTCCTCGTATAAATGGCCCTATTGTATCCAGACAAGTTGTTTAAAAGTTGCTGTTGTTGTTAATGGTGGGTGGGTGGGTGGGTGGGTGTGTGTGTAGGGGGGGGGGGAGGAGGGGGAAGTAGATTTTGTATGAGACTAGAATTATGAATTTTACTTGTTGTACATATTGGCTTTATGTGATGCCAAAAAACTGATTAATTATGGAGGGTTGTGGCCTAGGGTGGCCTGCGGATTGCGTAAAGACGCTTTTCAGTTTGCCATAATATTTACTGAAAACTCTGTATGTACTTTACCTTCAGTAGCGCTCGGTTTAACCACTCTGAAGTTATCTTCAGTTAATCGTTTGATTATCTCACTTTTGCAAAGCAAAGCGGACTTGTACAGGTAAAGATTTCCTTTTGAATCAGTCTCGAGAACTCTGTGCCTTTCCTGGTCCAGTACAGCTCTAAAAAAACACGGCCTGATTAAGTTAAGTGGTTTTCTTTCAAGTAACATATAAGTTGAGTGTGCTGTGCATATTCTTCATCGATTTAAAACCAAAATAAAATGCTAAACATTTGACTCGATAATGTATAAGCACTTAAGAAGAGGCAGACCTGGTTATGAAAAGCGGCAATTATCAAAGATAAAATAAGACAACGGTGCTGCAGTTTATGTCGCCGTGCACAGTCCTTTGCTTTTTGTTCACAGATTGTGACGGAATAAATTAATTTGGCGGTTTTATTGCTCAGATAGGTCAGTAAAGACTACAACGATCGTTGGGAATGTTATCTCAGTTATCAATAAACGTTGTGCACCTTCAACTCTCTGTTTCAAGAGCTTTAACCATTCCACGCCATTAACTATGCCCCAAGTTGTTTTTTGATGATAAGCATGTCGGCCGATGAATCACATCGACAGTACAATACCCTTAAAATTAGTTGTCTCAGCAAAGCGAAAAGTTTGAATCAAAAGTCGATAACAAAGCTAGGGGCGATCCCCTAATAGACATGGCGGGAATGGCAGTCGGAAAATTTCTGAAACACCCATTGAGGTACCAGAATGCCCTTTTTTGTGCGTGATTCAAATTTTATTAACTTGTTAGAGGTACCAGAAAATGACAATATGACTCTGTATTAATGATAACATAATCTAACGGCATAACTTTGAAGCCTTTCGAAGTCGGAAAGCCTAACTGAAGGGCATTGAGAAAGGCATATGATTGAGCTCCCACAGATAGCAAAATAGTAGTATAAAAAGAATAAAAATCAAAGCTTTCTAAGTCAGCCTTACCTGGCTATGACGAAAACACAGAAATAGGTAAAAATACTGGGCAAACGAGGATGGTAAAACATTGTAAAAACTCCTCTGTTATTTTCAAGGCCAACAGAAAATGATTTGGCGTCATTGGTTGCAAGACTGTGTATACATGTCTCTCAGGACGGGGATTTTCAGCACATTTTAACTGACAGTGATGATCTTTTTTATCCAATCAATGGCCACGAGGGTGCACTCGACTCCAGGAAATTTTGGGTGGGGGCATGCCGTTACGACCCTCATGGACCGTTAGCCTTTACCAGACCTGTTTGACTACAGTTTGCGACCCTATTCCAGACTAAGCATCAACAATCCCTACCCTATTCCAAACTAACTATGAACCAGAAATTGATCACACCACTGATCAATTACCCATGAAAGAGGCTCTATTAATTTAAATCCTCTAATTTCCACTCCCAAGACCAAGCTAAACTACTGAACAACCTTTACCCCCCGTCAATGACTCGGATTAATATAACAAGCTAGTAGGGGCAGGCAAAGGATGGAACGAAAGAGATACTGATGTCACAGTATCAATAGCAGCTAACGCGGGTCATTTTAAGCCATATAGGTATGTCCGGCGTTCAAGAGTATGTTTGTGAGTCATGTTCACGAATATGTATGTATATTTAAGGGAAAATTTTCAATCATCGTAGTCTGAGGTAACGGAGAGAATATGCTCAATTTGAAAACGGGAACTGGAGTTTGGTGGTGTTGTGCTTGTTGTTTTTGTTGGAAGACGCAACTTTTTTGCGTGTTTAAGAAGATTAAAATAAGGAATCTATACCCCTTCTCATCTTCTCAGCTATTTGACGTGAATTAAACGGAAGCAGTCCCGTGTGACTGGGATCATTAATTCTGTATCATACTGGGTCCATAACGCACGCGTTGCAGCAACAGATTGTCTGAAATAGGGCCTGATAGAAGGGTATCTAATTTTACGTCGGGCCAGGGGCCTGACTGGTCAGGTTTAAAATAGGGTCACAAAAAATTGGCGTAGTTTGTTCCATTTGAAAGAAAATAGAGCAAGGGTTTCATGAAGCATGCTGCCACCATCCACTCACACCCAAGTACTCTTTCTAAACCTTCAAGTGGTGTTCATAGATATTTGTTACTTCCCGTACTTTGGTGCTTTACTCTGGTGCCTCTTTGTTTATCGCGATCGGTAACTTTGACTTGTCATCTCTTGTGTACTTTCCAAGAGAGGATTTCCTCTCTCGTGATTCTCTGTTTATACCCCACCGAATTAGAAAAATAACGTTCAAAATAAAAATAAAACTAACTGATTACTGATATTGTATTACGGACATTTTCCTGTATTTTTTTATCATTTAGTGCAGACACATTTGATTCATATTACCGCCGTAACGCCATCGTACCCAGATCTCAGCCAAAGGTCTGCAAACGAGTGAGATCATTACCTTATGGTAGAAAATAATTGAAGCGACAGGGTTCAGTATTGTGCCCTATCTTCTAAAACTATCGGGGTCAATGAGAAAAACAATACAAAACAAAACAACAACAACAACAACATAAAGTAAAAGCTTAAGACTACAAACACAAAGCCCGAATCAAACTGATAGAATCACTCAATTATGCATTACAAATCTGAAATGTATCCGAATTATCGGAGAAAGGCAATATCATGGTACGAGCAGTTAACAGATATTTAGTTATTATATTTTAATGTATAAAAATATTTCCGTGTGGATTGGCAACGCCCTTTACTGAGTTGGTTAGCAAAGGCTGTCCCACATGGGCCAATCTCCTCTTGTATCACCATCAAAGTAATAATAGAGATTGTTGCCGTTAAGATGAGGTCCACGGTGGTCTAAATTGAAGGATTTTGGCACTACCCCAGCATACTGCTGCGAAACCTGTTTAACCAGTTTACAGCTGAGTGAGTGACCCGGCCTTCTGTCTTACTATACTGCTAGTGCCCTCCTTGAAAACGATCCAGTTGCTGATCCAGATCTCAGTCAATAAACTGCAAACGAGTGAGATCTGGGTAGAGAAAACTGTGCCCTGGCCTGTAAAAAGGTCTGAACCAGTAGTAAAATACAGAAGGAAAGATCAAAGGAATTTAAAAAAAAAGCAATATAGTAAAGGAATTGGTAGGTTTTTTGGGCAGAAAAAAATTAAGTAAGCAAGTTTTAAAATGACACCCACGACAAGCCAAAGATTTAACTCGGTTAATTCTAAATCATCTTTTAAGCAATTTAACCAAAATTAGAAATCCGGCCGGAGCTTTTCTTCAATTTGTATTACTCAATGTTTTGATTTAATTCATTATGATTTGTAGGTTCCTGCAAAATTAACAATAGGCCAAAGTTACACTTCGTTTACTTAACATGCTAATAGCATTGAGACGTTGTACCGCCACCGAAATGATCCCCACCATCGAAATGATCTCCGCCACCGAAATGACCCCCAATCACCACCGAAATGATCCCCACCACCGAAATGATACCGGCGGTCACC